ACTGGCCATGTGACCACGGAAAGATTGTCTTCGGACAAACGCTGGCTCTATGGCTTGAAGAGCGGGATGAGCGCCGCCCCCTAGAGTCGGACACGACTGGACAAAAATTGTCAAGGGGAACCTTTACCTTTACCTTAAGTTGTATGTGTGGAAAAGATATAGAATGTAAGGCTGAGATTGCTCTGTTATCAATATATGAGAACGTGGAATATGACAAAATGACTAAAGAACTGATAACTAATCTAATAACAGCAGCTAGATTGATTATTGCTAGACAATGGAAATTAAAGACTGAATTACAAATTGAAGAATGGTATAAAGAAATATGGAATATAGCATTAAATGATAAATTAACTTGTAAATTAAAGATGAAGAAAGGAGAGTTGAAAAAGAACAATTTTTATGTAATATGGGGCAAATTTTTGGAATATGTGTTAATAAGGGGGAAGGGGAAAGCTCCAAATCAAGAATCTATGCAGTTCTGGAGAGGAGGACAATAGAAGAAGAAGAAGGAGAAGAAGAAGAAAAAGAAGAATATGGCAACACTGTTATTGTGTTTGAGTTTATATGTTTTTATGTATGATATGTTTTTTGTTATAGTTATAGAAATAAATAAATAAAATATTTGGAAAAATAAAATTGGTAGATTACACAAAACTGGCTGGTTGCACACAAATTGGGATTGAATGCATCCTAAGAAAGCCATCCAGATAAAATACCTAGTTATTGAACATGGCAACATTTGGAAGTGCTTTGTTTGTTTCTTTTAAAGTATGCCTTTACTTAAACTTTCTTTTCCCCAGTAAAAACAATATAATTGTACATACATCATCCAAGTCAATGATATCAGACATGTAATAAAGAACATGCTTTTACAAACCATGTCCGTAAGTGACCATACAGTTTTCAGAAGGTAAGACAATGTCTTGTGCCATCAGCATAACATAAACAGTATATGTACTAATCAAGATTTATGAATTACTGGTGACAATAGATTTCAGACACCTTGCTACTAAACACAGGCCATGTGAGCTATCTATCCACAATCACCATGTTTCAGAACTGCTTGAATAAAACAGACTAAATGGTTACACAAAGCACATCACTGCTGCACTTTTCTTTCATTGCATTGCATTAACTACAAAGATGACTTTTGTTCCTTCTCTTGGTTTCAACAACAGTAGGCCCAACTATTTCAGTGGCTGCCTCCTTTGATGCCCAACTTTATTGTGGACAGTGAACAAATGGAATTGCAGCGTGTCTTTTACTGACTATATAAAACTCTTTTTGGAAAATTTCTGATGCAGGGATGGGTTTGATATGCTTTAAATCAGTGGTCCCCAACCTTTTCTGAACCACAGACCAGTTGGGGGGCAGGGTCCGTGCATGGGGGGTGGGGCACCCTCGTGCTCACAGGTGGTCAGGGTGTGCTCATATGCATGCACAGATGGGATGAGTGCACTCGTGGGTCCGCGAGGCATGCATTCGTGCATGCGCAAGTGGGCAG